TAATTGTATGTTAGGACCAAGCCTTTTAGTCTTTGAATATGAACACACATCTTCAATATTACTTCAAAGTGTAAAATGTTGCTTAACAAGTTAATGAACTACCTCATACAAATATCTACATGTTTGAAAATGTGAGAACCCTGAAGTGTTTTCATGTAGAAAGTTATCCCATTGATGTTGTTAAGGAAGGTTTTGCAATGGGGCAAAATGTTGAACATGGTAGAATAACCTTTGTGAGCGACACAAAATTGATAATAGAACAAAACTTGCTGTCTGGAACAAAACTTGTTGTCCTGTTGAGTAAGTGCTATATCTACATAGTAATAAGTAATACTAGATACATTTGTACTGTATTGTTTTAACAGATTCATGTTTGATACTATATCACTAGATATCAGTACACTACACACATCATTGTTAGCAACACATTTCTATAACTGAATATATTGACAATTCAACTATTCATGTTGGCCACCGACCATTCACCAATACACATCAGACCCAAATCAATGTTATCATTTTGCTGATAGCCATACCTTGAAGTCACAGAAAATCTTAGAAAGTATACATGTGACGTATAAATGAAGTCTGACAGAACAGACATAATGCTAATTCAGTCATGTGAGTACCTTGAAATGCTAACTCTAATAATTACATAATGATATGTTAATATAATTTAAATTATAGAATGTTCTTCTCTAGAGCATATCTAATAAGTAGATCTTAAAAACATTAGATTTCTAATAAATTATTTTGGGGTCACAAATCATTGTGTGAATAACAACAACTTCAAAATCATATTTGTATCTGGAACAAAACTTGTTGTCCTGTCACGTAAGTGTTTATTAAAATAAGTATTATATTTTAAATAATATAACTTTATATGTTTTGTTACGACACAGTGTCGTTGTCAACAGATATAAACTTGCAAATAGATATTGTCGATCTCGCACCACTTAAAATATTATTATTTTTAAATACAGAACTATTTTATATGTAAAATCTGTGAAAATCTCTGTATTCTATTTCTACTACAGTTTTCATTTGATGTAGTTAGCTAAAGAAATGGTTATTGCTCACAGTTAATGCACTGTGTTAGTGGAACAGGAATCAAGAACACTATTGACGCCAGTAAGTGCTACATTTGAAACAATTTTAGGTGATTTTACTGGTCCAGTATTATTACAAATGGTTAACAAAGTACCCTTTGGTTAGAATACCAAAGTTTTGTATTTCCAATATCAGAGGGCCACGTCGTAGTTGACTGAGGGCCTAATTCTAATTTGGGATCATGGTACATGATTTGAATTTTCATTCAAATCTCCCATTAAATCAATGCATGATTAACACAATATCCTATGTATGTGCTTGTATCTATAAGTTAAGATGCAGTCCCTAGTGGTCATATAGGAACAGATAGTAAAGTGTAAAATCTGGAGATAGCTACATGAATGTCACTTCATAAAGAAACCTGCCAAAGAAGTCAGGGGTTAAGCAATAAACCTGACACTGACCTTGTTAATGGTGTATGTGGTGTTTGTATATTGATGTTCGGGGTATATAATTCGCCAACTTAATTTGGTTATTTTTCCATAAGAAATTTGTTACAGAAACAACAACAGGTTTTTGTGGGTAGGTCTATGTCTGTGTGACTAGTAATATTACACTTTTTCTTCAAACAAACAAATTACAAACAAACTCGTATTTTTTGGTGGGATGGAATTTTCGCCTGACTGGTGACATCACCAGGTGGGAAATTAGTTAAAAGACCAATAAGTAAGAGAGCTCCAAACCTCTCCACCAATAAGAGCCAGTTTTCAGTTTTCCCCTCCCGACTCAGACCACTCCCAGATAGTCCTAGCTAAATTCTTGCTTGAGAAATTGCTCTTCGGTAAGATTTATTTATTTTTGACCACTTCAATTGAAAAGAATCATAGTAACGTTCTTAATTGTTACCCAGAAGTTATTTGATATTGAGATAAAACAGCTGCATTGGACCCTTAACTGACGTAACATAATTATTTATTTGAAATGCTCTGCATTTAATTCATTCATGATAGGTTAAATGAATAATAAGATAGAAAATAAGATAAAGATCAAAACCAAATTATACTATTAGAGTATAATGACATTATATGAAGTTAATAACTATTATGTACAGTTCATAAGTTTGAAACTTTAATTGTAGGTGAGAACAAAGCCTTTAAGTCTTTGAGTGTGAACAGAAATATTTAATCCTTGAATGATTAATGAATCAATTAGTCAACAACATCCAAATATCTGAATTTATGAGAATGGCAGAGCCCAGGAGTGCTTTCATGGGAAAGCTATTCCATTCACATTTTAGAGGGGGGTTTATGTAATGGGGAAAAGTGTTGTGTGAATTCTGGATATGACAAAGTAACCTTTGGGAGCGGCACAAAATTAATAATTGATTCAAGTAAGTCCATTTACTAATAATACTTTACTAATATTTGGTATTTCAAGATTTGGTATTTCAATAAAGGCAGTTTCTTGTTGTGGGGTAAAAAAAATATTATTGGGTTGTTTCTGCAATCGGACATATCATTGTGTGAATAACAACTTCAACAAAATCATATTTGGATGTGGAACAAAATGTGTTGTTCTGTCGAGTAAGTGCAATATCTACATAGTATTACGTAATACTATTTACATTTGTACTATACTGTTTAAACAATTAATGTTTGATATTTTATCAGAGACCATACACTATACAACATTGTAAGCAACACATTTCTATAACTCAATTAACGATTCAGCTATTCATGTAGGCCACCTATCATTAACCAACATACATCAGATTCAAATGAATTGTATCATGTTATTGATAGCCAATTAATGATATGTGAAAGTATACATGAAGTCTGACAGAGCAGATCTAAACTTGTTTTGATCAATACTAAATCAGTAATGTGAGAACCTCAGTCTTGAAACGCTAAATCTCTGAACTTTGCAAATTCTAAATTCTAAGAGGAAGCTGGAGTACTTTTTGTAAAACTACATACGAGCTTACGTAAAGTCTAGTTGTTTGTTTTTGTAATGAGGCCAATGTCTGTGTGACAAGTGGATTCAAAATAACATTTGGAAATGGCATTGAACTAATTGTGCATTCAAGTAAGTTTATAATGTGTCTACGATAGTAGTAGCAGCTGTAGCTATAGTAGTAGTAGTAGCAGCAATAAATATCATAGAAAATATATCTTAAAAATGATGTATGTGTACGTGGTAACATTTTACATTTAATTTGCTACTATATCTGTGAAGTAGGGCTTTAAGTACCTATGGTGATTATTGGTAGACATTTATACATCATCGTTATTATAATAATTACAATATATATAAAAACACACCAGTTTAACAAATTGGTTTCCATAGTTTGTTTTTGTATGAGAATATGTTATTGTGTGAATGAGTATCAGAAGATCACATTTGGTTCAGGAACCAACGTTTTCATTATGACAAGTAAGTTTAAAATACCAGAATTATCCAATTTGTAAGCTATTAGTTTTGAGTAAAAAGTATCTTAAAGAAAAATTTGCTCAAAGTCATCTGAAAATGGTGTAACAGTAGATCACAGTACAGTACTTCAGAGAAACATTATAAACATATTGCACATTGACAAAAATTACAAATAAATATTGTCAATCTTGCCACAAAAATAGCAATTGCTTGAAATAGTAAACTACTTCATATGTACATTCAGTGAATTGAACATATTTACGGTACATATAATTTAGAATTGATAAAAAATGGAATGTATATATTCATCTTTATTTAAATTACGCTACAGATTTCATTTGATGTAGCTAGCTAAAGAAAAATGGTATTGCTCACAGCTAATGCACTGAGTGACTGGAACAGGAATCAATAAACTTGTTTTTGGAACTGCAGTAAAGATCACTATTGAGGCAAGTAAGTACTACATTTGAAACATCCTATGTAAAATCTTACTCTTACGTGATTTAAATGATCCAGTATTATTACAAACAAAGTATTTCTGCTTAGAACACCAAAGGTTTGTAATGTCTGTGTGTCCGAATCCTAATTTGAGATCATGGGGCATGACTTGAATTTTTCCTCAAATCTCCCATTAAATCAATGCATGATTAATGCAATATCCTAACTATGTGCGTGCATCTATAAGTTAAGATGCAGCCCCTAGTGGTCATATAGGAACAGATAAAGTGTAAAAACTGGAGATAGCTACCTGAATGCCACTTAATAATTATTATAATAATATGCCATTTAGCAGACACTTTTATCCAAAGCGACTTACAGTCATGTATGCATACATTTTTACACTTCATAAAGAAACCTGACAAAGAGGTCAGGAGTTAAAGCCATAAATCTGACACTGACCTTGTTAAGGGTGTACAGTATATGTTTGATATAATTGATGTTCGGGGTATATAATTCGGCAACATAATTTGGTTATTTTTCCGTGAGAAATGTGTTACAGAAACGAAAACAGGTTTTTGTCTGTGTGACAATCTTTGGGTAAGGGATTACACTTTTTCTTCAAACAAACAAATGACAAACAAACTTTCATCATTATAGCGTACATTGGAATAGCCAAATGTGACAGCTAGCTTGATAACTGTCCCATTATGGAGTGGAATTACAGGTGGTTCAATTAAATGCGGCATCAGCATGTTCACAGTATAAGGCAAAAATTGTTCCTCTAGCTATTTGTCTGCACCACATTCTTGCAAGTTAGAGATAATGGTTTTGAGTTGTAGACTAGGATCTTGGTTGACAAGTCAGCTACCACCATTTTGCCAATATCAGTGTGTCCATGTTATATTTTTGGAAAAAATATTATATCAGTTAATTTTGGAAATGCTTAGACATAGTTAACCGATGTAACATAATTCTTTACTCGACATGCTTTGCATTGTCATGATGACACTATATTAAATCCAACCAAGATATTAGACACGGAGGCCCAAGTTCTTAATAAATGTTTATTTTTGTGTTTTACAGGAGATAAACATGAACCATCCTACTACACGTTGAACTCAAAAAGCAAGGGAAGCAATACCACAGCTTGCCTGGCTACAGATTTCAGCGCACACAATGCTACCGACAGTGAGACCTTGTTCAATGGGACAGAGGCCACCAGAGTGAATGGGGACAGCTACTACAGCCAGGTTGCCCTCGGAGATAAATGCAAAAATGGTACGTTTTGGAAGTGTGTATACCTACAATGATGCCGAATCACAGCATATTACCGTATGTATGTGCACTCATTGTGAAAATCACTTGTGTAGATTAATATGTCAATTATGAATGTTGCCCCTAACCATACAACATACTTAACTATTTATTTTCTCTATTTGGCAGATGGTGGTTCAGGGAAATGTACAGCAGACTTGTATTTTGACACAGGTACATATCAGAGCATTTTCCCTCCTAAATTGTGATATGATCAAATGTCTTTACAAATATCAACCTAATTGGCACCTGTTGCTTATGATATAAGATATTGATCATTATGGTATTTCCATTTCTAGATCCAAAGATCAACTTCCTATCCTTGACCATTCTGGGCCTGAGAATTCTGTTCCTGAAGACCATCGTTTTCAACGTGCTGATGACTCTTCGACTATGGATGAGTTAGAGTGAGTTCATGGTTTCACAGTTTCTCTTTATAACTGAATCTGCAAGGCATAACATGCTTTTGTGATTTAATATTGTCATGGGAAGGTATATTGTGAACAAGACAATATTTAGCATGACACACCTCTGAAGATGTGTATGTGTATATCATGCATTAATATGTTAGTTGTATTTATATATTTTCAGAAGATGGCATCAGTCCCTCAAAGACAACACAAGAAGTCCTTCCCAGAAGAACTATTGATTTGAATTGTAATTACATTCTAACTGTAGGAATTAATTGGAACTCATTGGAATCTCTTCATTGTCTGGACTGTCAAATACATCACTGTCCTCCCAGACAGACGTTGGTACAAATTACGACTCCGACATTGATTTGGAGAAGATATGTATGATTTGTAAACATGTTCGTAACTGTATTCTTCAAGTCATAAAGAAAATGTATTATCATTTGCTTATCTGTATATTTGTATTTTGTTCTCAAACTGTTGTGACTTGTGATAGTACATATATTTCTTTTCATTCTGCTCTCTCTTTCATTGAAATATCATGAACCTCAATTTGTATTATTCTTTAGAGTAAAAATATATAGCTAAATGTAGTGGAAATATCTAATAAATACTTCCTTTTTGTATATTGATATAAAAAATTGTCTTTGTAAAGTCTTTTGTTTTGATGAAAGTCTTAATTCAATAAATTCATTATATGGAGTTATTTGTTTTGCCTAAAGTCTGTAATGTATATTCAATGTTGATTACATTTTTAGTTCATATAGCTACTGTATCAGTTGTCACAAAAATCCTTCAAGTCTTTTCCTTCATGCCTTCATTCCTTCACAATGAGTATACCTCATAATTCCTATTAATCAGGCAACACGTCAGAATTTTTTAGAGACACACCTGATGTACTAATATAACGTTCATTAATAAGCTATTATAAATGCTTTATAAATAAGCTTTTAATGCTTATAACTTGTTACTCTAGTCTAGATGTTTATAAATGCAAGAATACCCATTTATTAACAGCATGTACACTACGTATTGATATCGATTAATGTTTATATAATATACACAAGTTAAATGACAATTATAGGATTATAATAACATTTTGATATTTTTATGAATCAAGTGTTTTTATTGTTGAATTTGTAGACGAAGAACTAAACCCCAAGTTGATTTAATCATTATACAGTATTAATATATTAATCTTTTCCAGGGTATACCAACAAAGCTGTATGAATGGAAAGTTAAACACATGGCTGGCAGCTGTCTCTGCTAAGCCTGTAAGCTTCATAAATATATCCACAACCCATTTATTATGGTTCCGCATTGGCAGCAGCTACTCTTCCTGGGGTCCAGCAAAATTAAGGCAGTTATATACAATAAAAAATAACAACATTACGTTACATTTCACAACAGATTTCACAACACATTAAGTGTGTGCCCTCAGGCCACTACTACTTCATATCTACAACACAAAATCCATGTGTTTGTGTGTTTATAGTGCTTATGTTATCGCGCACGTGTGTGTGTGTGTATGCGTGTGTCTGTGCCTGTGTGTGTGTCTCTTCACAGTCCCCGCTGTTCCATAAATCAGATTTTACTGCTTGCATGAGTTACTTGATGTGGACTATAGTTCCATGGCTCTATATAAAAATAAAATAATAAATATATAGTACTGTGCACCTCGCATAGTCTGTTCTGGACTTGGGGACTGTGAAGAGACCTCTGTTGGAATGTCTTGTCGGGTATGCATGGATGTCTGAGCTGTGTGCTGGTAGTTTAAACAGACAGTTCGGTTCATTCAACATGACAATACTTCTCACAAATACAAGTAATACTACTGGCTCAAAGTAGAGGAGAGATTGATATGCATATTATTAATGTTAGCTCTCTGTGTACATTTAAGGGCCAGCCGTACTGCCCTGTTATGGGCCAATTATAATATACCTAAGTCCCTCTTTGTGGCACCTGACCACACGACTGGACAGTAGTCCAGGTGCGACAAAACTAGGGCCTGTAGGACCTGCTACTGTTGCATCAATATGTTTTGACCATGACAGTTTACAATCCAGGGTTACACCAAGCAGTTTAGTCTCCTCAACTTCTTACATTTCCACATTATTCATTACAAGATTTAGTTAAGGTTTAGGGTTTAGTGAATGATGTGTCCCAAATACAATGCTTTTAGTTTTATAAATATTTAGGACTAACTTATTTCTTGCCACCCATTCTGAAACTGAATGCAGCTCTTTGTTAAGTGTTACAGTTATTTCACTTGCTGTCGTAGCTGACATGTATAGTGTTGAGTCATCAGCATACATAGACACACAGGTTTTACTCAGAGCCAGTGGCAGGTCAAGATTGAAAAAAGAAAGGGGCCTAGGCAGCTGCCCTGGGGAATGCCTGACTCTACCTGGATTATGTTGGAGAGGCTTCCATTAAAGAACACCCTTAGTGAATTCATAATTCATAAATCAAAGCCCTCTGTAACATGCTTGAATACAGAATTAGCACAGTTTTGCAATTTTGCTTCCAGCATTATCTTCAGCATTGTTCATACTGTAGTTCAATATACAGTGCCTTGCAAAAGTACATTTTCGTCATTTAGCAGACGCTCTTATCCAGAGCGACTTACAGTTAGTGCATACATTAATCTATTTATTTAATTTTTTTCATACTGGCCCACCGTGGGAAACAAACCCACAACCCTGGCGTTGCAAACACCATGCTCTACCAACTGAGCTACCTCCCTGCCGGCCATTCCCTCCCCTACCCTGGGCCAATTGTGCACCGCCCCATTGGTCTCCCGGTTGCGGCCAGCTACAGCAGAGCCTGGATTTCAACCAGGATCTCTAGTGGCACAGCTAGTACTGCGTTGCAGTGCCTTAGACTACTGCGCCACTCGGGGGTATTCAGAACCCTTTGATTTCTTCCCATTTTATAGTGTTACAAAGTGCGATTAAATTGATTTTATTGTAATTTTTGTCAACAATCTACACAAAATACTCTATAATGTCAAAGTAGAAGAAAAATTATAGTATAGTCCTTGCATAAGTATTCAGCTCCCTGAATCAATACATGCTAGAAACAGTTTTGGCATCGATTACAGTTGTGATTCTTCTTGGGTAAGTCCTTCAAATACAACACAAGAAATCATCCCCAGAAGAACTATTGATTTTACTATTGACCACTTCTCATCATGCTTTGCCAGAATAAAATAAAAATATTGATGAACTGTAAATACTGCAGTCAATTGCATTGTAATTACACTCTAGATGTAGGAAGTTTTACTCCTAGGAATTTCTTAATTGTTTGGATTGCGAACTAAATCTCTATCGTCACAGACACATATTGGTATAACCAAAGAATCCAAAGAATTTTACTAAACATTCGTGTAATTAATTAATTATATGGAATATGTTTTCTCCTGAAGTCTTCAAATCTTACTCAAGTCTGTCTGCTCCCACACACCAAGAATGAAGTGGAAAAAGCCTTCATTTTTAATTGAAACTGTTATACCTGTTTGTGGAACTTTGTGTGGGTGGCTGCCTAGAAACAAGTTAATGCGATCTACAGTAAATACATTCATCTCAATCATTCATCACTCAGTCATAAGTCTCAAGCAACATTTGTGCTGAGGGCAATTAAAACTGTCTGAGACACGCGCATGTACTAAAATACTAATGTAACTTTATTAATTTGCCATTATAAATGCTTTATAAATATAAATACATGCTTACAATGCTCATATTTTGTCATGTTTATACTGTAGATGTTTATGAATTCAAGAATTCGCCATTTAATAATAGCATATATAGTGTACATACTTTATTAATAATAGTAATAATACTTATATGTTAACGTTTATTAAGGAAAGTTATGTTATATAGTTCCATCAATTAAGTTGTTTTAATGTTACGTTTGTAGACACCCAATTTCTGCACAACACTAAGAACTAAACCCCAAGTTGATTTAATCATTATATGTGTCAGGGTTTTCAGGGTATACCAACAATGCTGTATGAATGGAAAGGTAAACACATGGCTGGCAGCTGCCTCTGCTATGCCTGTGAGCTCCATAAATATATCCAAAACCCCCATCCACACCACCTGTTTTCCATCCAATTAAAACCACTTACATGTCCTTTGTTTTGTTTTACATTGTCATCCTGTATTGTTTCAATTGATTACCAGGCTATTACACTGTAACATTTTAGTCGGTGTATTTAACTTATATGAGGATATTTACCATCTCTAGACTATTAAGATTTCATAATTCAAGCCCTCTGTAACATACTTGCATAAAGAGTTTAGCAATTTTTCTTCAAGCATTATCTTCAGGATTATTCCTACTGTAGTTCAATATGCAGTGCATTTGGAAAGTATTCAGACCCCTTGACTTTTTCCACATTTTGTTATGTTACAGCCTTATTCTAAAATTGATTACATAAAAAAAAAATCATCAATCTACACACAATACCCCATAATGACAAAGAGAAAACAGGTTTTTAGAATTTTCTGCACATTTATTATTAATAAAAAACAGACATACCTTATTTACATAACTATTCAGAACCTTTGCGATGAGACTTGAAATTGAGCTCAGGTGCATCCTGTTTCCATTGATCATCCTTGAGATGTTTCTACAACTTGATTGTAGTCCACCTGTGGTAAATTAAATTGATTGGACATGACAGTGCATGTCAGAGCAAAACCCAAGCCATGAGGTCGAATGAATCGTCTGTAGAGCTCAGAGACAGTACTGTTTTGCTAGCACATACTGTAATATGTTCTGGGATTCTTCCAGTGGCATTGAGGAGTACACCACATCAGTCACTGGCTTCATCAATAAGTGCATCGATGACGTCGTCCCCACAGTGATCGTACGTACATACCCCAACCAGAAGCCATGGATTACAGGCAACATCCGCACTGACCTAAAGGGTAGAGCTGCCGCTTTCAAGGAGCGGGACTCTAACCTGGAAGCTTATAAGAAATCCCGCTATGCCCTCCGACGAACCATCAAACAGGCAAAGCGTCAATACAGGACTAAGATTTAATCATACTACACCGGCTCCGACGCTCGTCGGATGTGGCAGGACTTGCAAACTATTACAGACTACAAAGGGAAGCACAGCCGCGAGCTCTCCAGTGACACGAGCCTACCAGACGAGCTAAATTACTTCTATGCTCGCTTCGAGGCAAGCAACACTGAAGCATGCATGAGAGCATCAGCTGTTCCGGACGACTGTGGGATCACGCTCTCTGTAGCCAATGTGAGTAAGACCTTTAAACAGGTTAACATTCAAAGGCCGCAGGGCCAGATGGATTACCAGGACGTGTACTCCGAGCATGCGCTGACCAACTGGCAAGTGTCTTCACTGACATTTTCAACCTGTCCCTGACTGAGTCTGTAATACCAACATGTTTCAAGCAGACCACCATAGTCCCTGTGCCCAAGAACACTAAAGTAACCTGCCTAAATGACTACCGACCTGTAGCACTCATGTCCGTAGCCATGAAGTGCTTTGAAAGGCTGGTCATAGCTCACATCAACACCATTATCACAGAAACCGTAGACCCACTCCAATTTGCATACCGCCCCAACAGATCCACAGATGATGCAATCTCTATTGCACTCCACACTGCCCTTTCCCACCTGGA